CTTGGAAAAAAAAAACATGGCCCGTCTAGCGGACCCTCCACCCTAAACCCGAAAGACCTTATTGCTGAGCCCCCCTGACTTTCCCAGCATTGGGCTTCAAGGTTCAGAAAATTGGGTCATTCGCACTCTCCACTCCTGAAGAAGACTTCTTATCGCTACTACCCTCCCGCCAAACAAACATGGAGGCTGATGCGGCCTCCTTTATTAAGGATGGAGGACAGTATTGATTGTAGGACCCTTTTTCAGCTTCCACGTAGTTTGGGGAGCTATCTCATCCTTATTGCTCAACAGCAAACGCGAAAAGCTCCAGAGCTTTCATTGCTTACAAGTGCTTAGTAAGCTTAACTCCGAACCCCAAACCCTACCCTACACCCCATTAAAGTAGTTTCCATTCTCTTTTCCACTATCCCTATATGAGCTATAGTCTAAACTCCTAGTATCCCCCTTAACAAGCCCCATGATAATCCCCTATATAATCCCCTATATAACCCCCTTTAAGGAGTTTAGACTATAGCTCATATGACCTCTATAATGCCGATATATACGGAGTGGATCCCCAGAACAGCCGCTACATAGCTCCCTATGGCCGTTCGCACACCCTGGAGCACCCATAAGATGAGAAGAGAATCCCTAGATGCCTGATTACGTCATAGGATCCCCCCCCCCCACCTGCCGGAGGATGGCATGATGCAAGAACAGTGGAGGAACAAACATTTCTAATCTTCTGCCTGCAATCCTCTGAGCCTGCTGGCTAGGCAGCCTCAGTCTCGCATTACCTGTGAACCCTCGTTGCCCAAGTATCTAAATACATATAGGGGCTGAAGAACGCAATATGTGAGTGTGAACGGTTGTTGGCATCTAAGGGCCTAACAGCCTGGTCGGCCTTGGGGATATGGTTCCTGATAATTGTGAGAACTTGCAAATGCATGGATCTCGGGATTTCAACAGAATCCTGTCGCATGTTCTAGCTGCTGGCGGCGAGTTAAAGGTGGTGGCGTGAACCTGAAGCTCAAAAGCAGCCCCTGAACAACCTCCCCAAGGCATGTCCTCAATATAATGGCACAGAGGACGTTGCCGTAAGGGATCATATAGGAGACTGTTCGACTACATTTAAACAATAAATCGCGCCGCCTCTCGCATGGCGAAGCGCATGCCCTTCTCGATGGGCGTGCCGGCGATGAGCTCGCAGGTGCAGGTGATGTTGTCACCGGGCATGGCCATCTGGACCTCGTTGCCCTCAGAGCTCACCATGCCCTCAATCTTGC